GCTCTGGTCAACATTCCCATCACAAGGGTGAAGGGGGTTGAGGCATCACTCCTCGCCTTTAATTTTTGTTCTACCTTCTAGTGTCGTGTCTCTCTCTTAACCCAAATCCATATGGCCCATCTACTAAAAAACCATCGTCTAAAATCTGGCTGTCTAAGAGCCTTCGACTACACAACATTCGACGATTTAGAGCAGATTCAAAAAAAAGAAATCGGTGTATCTTCACAACAGCGGTTGTCAGCCGGACACGGGGCTCCAAAGAACGAGACATCATGTAAGTCGGGATGAGGGCGGGGTAACTGAGTCATGGGTTTGAAGCCTAGAGAGAGGAAGATTTACTGGCATGTGCATCATCTGCTCTAAATCCTCGAATATGGCGTAGCCGAAGGCGGGAATTGAAGCCTCTTAGGCAACCAGATTTCAGACAGCTAAATAGTGATTTTAATGTGAAGTAACGATCAAATGGTAGGTGGGTAGCAAAAAAGGGGGGCAGAATGAAGTTCAGGAGTCCTGCAAATGGCATCTGGTACCGGTCGTGGAAATGGTTACACTTCATTAAACCCATTTGTAGCGACACAATCTTAGACGACATTGGAGAAAATGATAGCAAATAATTGTGTGAATAGGTGGATAGGCCATATGAAGTGGGACAGAGAGAAAGAGATACGACACTAAAGATAGAACAAAAATTAGGGGCGAGGATTGATGCCACAACGATTGAACAGAAAATTGGTCAAGGCGATTTCCTTCACCTGTGACATTGATAAGTTGTAACTCTGTGCTTAGGATGGCGCCTCTCACTGACGATGCCGGTGAAACGTTTGGGAATGTACTCAGCCAATGGTCCAATGCTGGAAATCACGAATACTATGGAAGAGGATACGGGACTATGTATTTTTTACAAGGTCTCCCTGACACTCCGGCCAAGTTGCTGAGACAAGGTCGAAATAACAATATAAGGCTAAAGAATAATGCGATCAAACAGATGGCCACACCACCTTGATCTTCATATTTACGAAAATGTATTATCTTTAAGGTAAACAGGAGCTTACAGATATAATTTGTCTGCTGACGAATAAAGAAGGCAAATGGATTAAATAAAAGCTGGGAAGGGATACAAGCGCTTGAGGCCGAATATAAAATCGAAGCTATAAAGTTTATACCAACAATCTAGATAAGGATAATAAACTCTCAAGGAGGTAAGACGGACCTGACTACAGTAGCCAGTGCCACCAAGGTTTGTCGTCTGGCCAAGAGAAGTCGTACCTTCACCTGGTGATGAGTTTAATGCACCAGCTCCAATGGGCGAATCACAAGCCTTGGCAGTGCATAACCGAATGTCAGGCTCCAAGACGGTCCATTCGAGCAGATTCTGTCCGGTGAATAGACTGGTGGCAACAGGTGTGGCTGTATTAAGTCCATCATCACTAAGACTAAAGGGCTCGATGGAAACACTGACACCACTAGTCGTATTTGAATGGGTAGTGAGTGAATTTGCAGATGAGGATGATGAATTATTGCTTATCGTGACTGGAGGTAGAGGGGTCAACGATGCATCCTCAAAGACGACACCTGGGGGGACCGCTAATTCACTGGCTACCTGGGCATTGGCTGCAGCTGAAGAAGGTCCAGAACCACTTGGTGATGGTCGTTTGCAATAGATAAGCCGGTTGTCGGCTAGAACGAACCAGCGCCGCGACCAAGACCGCCAAGGCTTCTTGCCACTGCTGCGCTTAAAAAGATAGCCCTTAAATACGCACAAATAATAAAGGAAAACCATAATAAAATGGAATATAAGTAATAAAAGACGACAAAATATACGTTATACACGACGAATGTACATTTAGGGACGTTTTTCTTAATATAATATACCAATTAGAATGGAAAAATATATGTTAATGCTCATGGCCATAAAAAAAGCTTATGGGACAGTATACAATGAAACTCAGTAACAGTAGCATTTTATATCTCAGCGGTACCCCCAAAAGGATTCAAAATCGGGTCGTGCGCACAGTGGCGATAATTTACAAATCAGCTAAAGCCATAAATGCTAGTCGAATAGATGTGAAGCCAGACCTCGCCTGATTCACATTTATAGTAGAAGTTTTAATGAGACAAACATGTATGTGCTAATTAAAATTAATATATACTATACTGAAATTACTATATACTATGTATATATACAAGTGAATCAATCCAGTCTCGCGACGTCAAATCTATTGTGGCCTGCCAGCCGACGCCCAAAATTAATGAATCAGCACACTCATTTGACACTGAAATTATAGCTCCAGATGAAAAGCTTCTTCTCTCAGGTTTACGCACACAGATGACGCTTGAGACAAACAAACAAGTCGTCTCCATGGCCAAGCTTACTTCCTGAACTTGGCCGATTAACTAATGACCGAAAACCAGGCCAACAGTCGAACACCAATAAGAAACCTAGTCCGACATTCAGCAAAGTAATATGTAAACGGGACGTCTATCGCATTTACATGAATCGACAGCATCAGTGTTGCTGCTTCACTGTTTTCGCAATTTTGCTACACTAGTGTTGTTATATTAAAACTAA